ACCACGTAAGTAAATCTGAAGTTAGCTTAATATAGTTATTTGTAACAATACAAACTCAAGCAAGTAAAGTTCACCGTGTTTCTAGTCAAAAAATACATCACAGATTGAGTTTTCATGAAAATGAACCGTAAAATCTTCTACATATGGTTCACCTCCTTGATTGCGGTGACGGTGAACATGGATGTCGGTAGTTGTTTATTAAATGTAAGTAGAAGCAATCAAGCGTTAACCTAATTGTGAATATTATATAACTTGTTTGTATTTAGCCATAAAAAGTTATATCCATTAGAGGTACCATTGTTTTGTACTGAAGTGACATAATTATGTAACGCATAAAAAAAATATGTGAGTAACAATTGACGTTTATAGTGTTGTCCAGCGGCTTTCTGAATGTCTGCAGTAATAGTGTATAACACCACATCAAGTAGGAACAAAATCTTCATGAATAAAACAATCGGTGTTTCTTGTGAGAATGGTGACACAACCATGTTTTTTAGTTAATACTGATTTGTGACGTGTCTGTTATAGGGTTCACAAAAGAGTTATTATATACTCTTCACTCCGTTTCGGTAATACAGTTGTTGTGTTACTTAGGAAGTTATGAATGAATGTCACTACTTGTTAATAAAAGACTTATAGGCACAGTCTGTTACTTGCTATTTGAATAACTTATTGAATATGATACTGAGAACAAAGTTTAATTGTTTGTCTCAAAACGGATTTGTTGTTTTTCAGAATAGTATGAAGCTTATGGAATTTAGGATTACGGAAGATCGTGTGGAAAACCGGTTTACAAGTTTACGATAACTGTTTTATATTGCCTACTGCTATGCTCATTCATCTAATGAATTATTTAAATATAAATATAACAACCATACGCAGTGTTTTATATTATAAATCCTGTAAGTTTGTATAATTATGGTCTAAATAAAGCCAAAACAAATATTGACGCACAATCATGTGAGTCATGTTGTAAGATTTTATAACGTATTGTTGACCCTCCAATCTTACGCGAAACATCGATTGGCAATTTAAAAATTTAGACCTTAAAGGTAACACATTAGTTAAAGTCCTCACGGTTTTTTATTCACATTCAGACCTTCTGATTTACGTTTACGACCAAACGTGCAACGAAACACTACGAAAAAGTATTTATATCTCACATCCTTCAACAATCTACTTTCTGCGTGAACATAGTGTGTATGGGTCATCTGAGAAAACATAGATTTATCCCATCATACTTTATGGAAATCCTTTAGCGCATTATCTAATTCAGTCCAGCTTCCGAATCTCTTATTCAGCATAATACGTTGAAACGCGTCGCTTACGTTCACTGAAATTTCACTTGAGCATGAAGCACTAGAGACAACATACAACAGCTATTAAAAAAGGTTATTCCTTGAAAAAATTAACTGAAGGAAGAACAACAAATATTTAGGACTTACCCTTCAGTTGACATTTCGTCTTAATTCACAAAAACTATGCGCATCTATAACCTTTTACGTTATTTTATCTTACTTACGTTGTTTTCTGGACCTTATCAACAAATTATATATAGCTGTTGACTTTCACTACAGCACTTAGGACCACAGATCAAGTTTCGAAGGAACAACAGAGCTAAAGTGTGCACTACAAAACAGAAAATACTCAGTTAATGCTCTTAGCAGTTATTTAGTGTTTATTATGCATCAAAAGATGACTTATATATGGAAACATTTAATACTCATAGGACCCAACACACACACGGCAATTGAAATACGGAATGCCCGCTTCCAGTCAGCGCGTTCAAGGTCGTTGAAACGAAACGGCGGACAGATTTGAAAGGGATTACCTTGGCGAGTTGATCGAGTGGCATGGCTCGGCCATGCATGCGTGGTCCCTGCTGGGTGTTATCTTATATCTCCTATTCATATTAAATATATTGTTCTTTCTCTAGCCTAACCTTGTTCTACATCATGTATTGGTAATTGATACGATACAATGAGTTGGTGTAGTCGATGGTGTGACTTCCACGTAAGATCTTATAGATTAGGCAGTTATATCATGACAAATCTACAATTTTAGGATTAGGTCTATTATTAGAGCAGTACTAATATCATAGTAGACCATAATTCTACAAACTCATTGCAACCACCTGGACCAGCAGATATTAGCTGTTTAGTCTCCTTTCAAAAGCAGTTAACTCAATTAATAAGCCAGCTGGCGTCACTGCAATCGACCATAGCAACCATCCAAGCTAGACAGTCGAGATCCTCCTCCAAACGAGGATCTTTTTCCAGACAACGGTCTCCGTCACCGAAGCGAACATCTGAAGTTTGTTGGTACCACCAAAAATACGGCACCAAAGCACGGCGTTGCACACGACCGTGCACATTTTCTGCGGCTGACACAGAGAATCAGGGAAACGGTCCGGCCAGACAGTGATGGCGGCTCCTGTTTCTGGCCACTACCCGAGCCGTTTGTTTCACGTCAGGGATCACATTTCGGGCTCAGATTTTTTGGTCGATACAGGAGCCGAAATCAGCATTGTCCCATTACACCTCTCTCAACGACGGCACTCTCAGAGTACTAAATTGTCTCTAGTCGCAGGCAATAACACAGTCATTAAAACTTATGGCGAACAATCACTTATCTTAGGTCTCAGTCTCCGCAGACGCTTCACATGGGTTTTCATCGTAGCTGAAATAAAACAACCCATTCTCGGGGCCGACTTTCTCCGTGCTTATAACCCACTGGTAGATATAGGGAAAAAGAAACTAAGTGACAAGAACACAAGCTTACAGGTCAGCGGCACAACTATTTCCAATTACAAAATTCATAGAGTTCGAATAATAAGACCTGAAAATAAAATTTTCACCGATATCCTGTCGAAATATGAAAGTATAACCAGAGCTGATTACCAAAACGAACGCTCCACAGATCATGATCAACATAGTATCACTACTACAGGACCACCCATTCGCGCCAGAGCGAGAAGACTTCCTCCAAACAAGTTGCAGTTCGCGAAGAGAGAATTCGAACACATGATGCAACTTCGGATAATTAGACAATCTAACAGTCGTTGGGCCTTGCCGCTGCATATGGTTCCCAAGAAAGACCAAACTGGCACCCATGTGGAGATTATCGACGTTTAAATAACCAGACTATCCCAGACAGGTATCCGATCCCTCATCTGCATGATTTTTCCTTAAATCTACATGGAAAACAGATCTTTTCAAAGTTAGATCTAGTCCGAGCATATCATCAAATACCGATGGCATCTGAGGATATCGAAAAAAAGTCGTAATCACACCTTTTGGCTTGTTTGAATTCTTAAGGATGCCTTTCGAACTAAAAAACGCTGCTCAAACCTTTCAGAGATTTATGGATGAAGTAACCAGAGGTTTGGATTTCGTATTTGTCTATGTTGACGACGTTTTAATCGCTAGTTCTTCCACTGAAGAACATGTTCAGCACTTACACACGCTTTTCGAACGTTTCGAAAGTTGTAGTGTTGTAATCAACCCTTCGAAATGTATATTTGGCGCCTCGTCTCTGGAATTCCTGGGACATCACATTGATTCCCAAGCAATTGAACCGCTTGAAGAAAACGTCAAAGCCATCACCAGCTACCCAGAACCAACCTCAGTAAAATTACTACGTTGTTTTCTTGGAACATTAATTTTTATCGACGATTTCTACCAAATTGTGCCGATGTACTACAGCCATTGACAGATTTACTGAAAAACGATAAATCAGGTACCAAGAAAGAAAAGAACCAAATATTCAAGTTACCTTCTGATGCCAAAGTAGCACTTGAAAAGCTAAATCCATGATTGCCAATGCTACCATGCTCCAACACCTAAATACTAACTCAACAACCCTGTTGATCCTGTGCACAGTTGCTTCACAAAAAGCCGTCGGGGCAGTATTGCAACAGCTGGTAAACAATACGATTACCCCATTGCCTTTTTCTCCAAAAGATTATCGCCGGCACAAGAACGTTATAATACTTTTGGACGCGAACTCCTAGCTATGTACTTAGCCGTAAAACATTTCAACTTCTTGCTACAGGATCGGGATTTCATCATTGTGACAGATCATAAACCACTTTGCCATTCTTTTAGCACATCGTATGACAAACACTCCCCACGAGAAGCAAGACAACTTCGTTATATCTCCCAAATTACTACAGACATCAGGCTTATCAAAGGTCACACAAACATTGTCTCAGACGCACTATCTGGGAGGGATATCAATACGATGGTACTCAATCATGACATCAGCCTTGAAATTTTGGCTAAATTACAAGTAGACGATGCCGAATTGAAAGTCTGCAAAAAAAAGTCCAGCTTAAATCTCAAACCTGTACCAATCCCTCTTTCGGATGCATTCATCATGTGCGACACCGCAACAGGCAACAATCGTCCCACACGCCTGCCGACGAAATATATTTCAGCACTTGCACGGTCTTTCACATCCAGGCATCAGAGCAACAACAAAGCTCATTACCTAACGTTTTGTGTGGCCGAAAATCAACTCGGGTGTTAAGCGTTGGACACGTAGCTGCCTCCAGTGCCAACGCAGTAAGACGCAGAAACACACCTCCAGTCCAATTAGGAAGACCCTATCCCTGACAAACGCTTTCCACACGTGCATTTAGATGTAGTATGGCCTCTGCCACCATCAAACTCTTTCACATACATCCTTACCGCAGTAGACAGGTTTACTAGATGGACCATAGCCTGCCCCATAAAAGACACTTCGGCAGAAACAGTCGCTTCAGTCTTCCTCGATCGCTGGATATCTTACTATGGAGTACCACCAATAATCACAACAGATCGTGGTCCCCAATATCAATCTGTCCTTTTTCAGGAGTTCACTAAACTTCTAGGGCTCAACTGTTACGGGAGAACTGAAGACTTTTGACGGATTGAAACCTTTTATTGTACATTAATAATTTACTGTTTTTTGGATGTAATTGTTTTACTTAACTTTTGAGCTTGTTTGTTTATATCATTATTTCGGTTTGGTGCTGTCTTTGTCTTTGGTTTGGTATTTGGGAGTTTTGCTCCGGGAACCTACAAAATTGAAGGTTTGTTTTGTAATTGTTATAATTATTGTTGTTAGAACGACATTTGGTCGATTATTTGTGAATTACGAATAAACTTGGTACCTGATTTGGAGTTTTGGTTCTTTTGCCTACTTGGGTTCGTAATTTGCAAGTAGATCGATAGTCCGTACTTCAATAACTGGAACGAGCAAAACTTGGACGTAACATAAGGTTCTTCAATTATTGGTTCTGTGTTCATACCTTGGATTTTCTGGATATTTTGGGTCCAAATTTCTGGTCTTATTGGTCGATTTCGTTTGGATTAATTCGGATTTGTTTTGGTAATTGATTATTTGGAACAACAAATACGATGGAAACACGGAGCAAAAGGCTGAAGGAAAATGACGAAATGGATGGTAAAATTCCTAAAGCTGTTTGTGGTATGTCTGATGTTAATGATGATAAATGTGATGATGTTAGTCTTAATAGTATGTCCTCTAGCCAGCTAAGTGCTTCTAGATTAAAATTAGATAAAGCATTACTGAGGAAAAGGAATTTAGAGAAGAGACTTGAATTAGAACGGCAACTTAAGATGTTAGATCTACAAGAAGAGGTTGATATCGCTGAACTAGAATGCAAGGCCTTCGAGGACGATGAACGATTACCCGTAGATAAATGTGGGATAAATGCTAAAGTGGAAAATTATTTGGATTGTGATACTGGGTGTAATAATCACTCAGGGGAGGTATGTAACATCTCAAATGTCGATTGGGTTGGCGAGCTGAAAGACACGATACATACAATGGTTAGTAACATGGTTTTACCTAAGATCGATATGATTTTCTTTGATGGGCAGCCGGGTCAGTATTACCGTTTCATTAGTCAGTTTAATAGCCTTATAGAGAGTAAGCTGTCAGATAAGGGCCAATTGTTGTCGTATTTGTTATATTATTGCAGGGGAAAAGCCAGAACAGCAATTGAATCTTGCGTTTCTTTGCCCAGTGATTTGGGCTATGATAGGGCTAAACGAATTTTGTATGATTTATTTGGTAAAGAACATCTTGTTGCACGAGAACTAATTATTGAGTTATTAAACCATAAACCTGTCGGAGGATCGGCTGACGTATTAACTGACTTTGCGATTAAGTTGCGTAATGTATGTATAACGTTGAAGCAAATGGGATATATGTCTGACGTTAATTCTACGGCTAATTTGGAGGTAATAGTTTCTTGCCTACCACTAGAATTGCAGAATAAGTGGGTGGAAGTCGCCGATAAAATCATGATGCATGGGAAGGAGCCGAGCTTTGAAGAATTTGTGGTCTTTGTAGAAGAGAGGGCCAGAATTGCCCGAACCCGTTATGGTAGATTAGTACAGTGTAACTCAAGGTTCGGTAGAAGGAATTCTGAAGGCCAAGCTGATAGGAGATCACACTTTCATGCAATTAGACGAGACCCAAATAGCTCAGTCAAGGTATCACGTTGTGAAATCTGCGAAGGTGATCATGAGGTGACAAATTGTCCAAGGTTAGCAAAAATGAATGTAAGAGAAAGGAGGCAGGAGGTAAGAAAATGTGGTCTATGTTACTTATGTTTGAGGAAAGGTCACATAGCTATGACATGCAACTCAGGCATCAAGTGCGACGTTGAGAATTGCAAGGTTAGGCATAATTCATTATTGCATATTGATAGTGTTGATAACCATGTGGTGAACCTAGCTAAGGATTGGAACTCTTCAAAGGTTTGTTTGGGGATCGTTCCAGTCAGACTATACGGTCCCAAAGGATGTTTGGAAACATATGCACTTCTAGATAGTGGTTCGGACACTTCTCTTGTATGTGAAGAATTAATTAATCAGTTGGGTATCAAAGGTAAAGAGACTTCGATAAGGGTGGCGACTGTGAACGGAACTACCAATTGTGATTGTTTGGAGGTAAATTTAGAGGTATTTTCATTAGATGAACAGGGTTCTATAAAGATCAACAAGGTTTACACGACCAAAAAACTTCCAATCGATCATGCAACACCTTTAACCGAACTCCAACTGAAACGGTGGAATCATCTAAAGGACATAACCCTCCCGAGGTTGCAAAGTAATTTTGTAGGAATATTGATTGGGTGTGATGCTCCGGATGCACATTGGGTCCTGGAACAACGTCTGGGGGACAGGAAGCATCCGTTTGCTGTGCGTACTCATCTTGGTTGGATGATTATAGGTCCTAGGGCAGTATCAAGGTCTCTACATCAAGTTCAGTTGTGTCATTGTTCCACTAATGATATTTTGCGGGATTTAGAAAGATTATATGATCATGAATTCGAGGATACAAATAAGTTTTGTAATGAATATCCTGTCGAAGATAAAAATGCTCTGGAAATAGCTAGCAGTTCGTTTAGATTGGATGGTGGTCATTTCCAAGTTGGTCTACCATGGAAGTATGATAAGCCAAGACTACCGAATAATTTGGAACTGGCTGAACGCAGACTAGAATGCTTAAGGAAGAGGTTTATGAAAGATAACAGTCTTTTGGAGAAATATCAAGTTGTGATGAACAAACATTTAAGAAAGGGTTACATCATTGAAGCTAGTGAAGAGGGATTTGACTATGATGCTGTTTGTTGGTATACTCCTCATCATCCTGTTATCAACCCTAAAAGGCCTGGAAAATTGAGAATTGCATTTGATTGTGCGGCTGTCTATCAAGGTTGTTCTCTTAATGACCAGCTTTTGAGAGGACCGAATACTGTAAATAGTTTAATTGGTGTACTTCTACGATTCAGATTAGGTAACGTAGCATTAGCTGCTGATATCGAAGAGATGTTTCTTCAAGTAAAGATTCCGAGACGGGACAGGGGTGCATTTCGTCTATTGTGGTGGGAAGACGGTGATATACGACGAACGGCTAAGGCAAGAGTAGCCCCCTCGAAGGTCCAAACTATACCGCGCTTGGAACTTACAGCAGCAGTTTTGACAGCTCGCATGGGATCCCAGCTACAGTCAGAATTAGATATTAAGTTTGCAGAGGTTAATTTTTGGACGGATTCTATGATTGTCTTACACTATATTAGAAATGAGAAAAGCCAGTTTAAAACATTCATAACAAATCGAATTTCGACTATTCAGAGTCTTACTAAGGTGGACCAATCGAGATTCGTACCTTCTAAAGAAAACATATCAGACTTTGCATTCAGAGGGGTCAAGTTTGACATTGATGATGTCAAGGTATGGGAGGAGGGTCCACGTTTTCTCAAGAAGCCGAAGGAGTGTTGGCCTGCCGATGATGTACAAGGTCCTGACCCTCATCTATTGGAAATAAGGAAAGCAATGTCGGCGCATGTAATGGATGAAAAATCCACTGTTGATCAACTTATTAATTATTATTCAGATTGGACTAGATTACTTAAGGCTGCTGCGTGGTTAACCCGATTTAAGCGATATTTACTGGTAATGCGTTCTGGTAGAACTGATCTGTCTCTACAGGTGGGTGTGCTTAGATTTGATGAGTTAAATTTCGCTTGTTTAGATTTAATCCTATATGTCCAACGCATAGTATTTCGGAAAGAGATTGAAATGTTATCGTCTGATACCATTAGCAAGGTGAAGAAAACGAAGTCACCGTTACGAGCTTTAAATCCAATGATGATTGGGAGAAGGGCTTTATGTTCTGCGGACTCAAATAGTTGTTTGTGTGTGAATATACAATGGTGCCTGAAGCCATGTGTTATGGTTATTCATTTTCTAAAAGAACTAGAAGGGTCCAACAATGTTACGATTTGGAATCAGAATAAAGAATTTGCGGTAAATAAAGGAATTAATGCATCGGTCCTCTATATGTGTTTATATATTCATGTTTGCGTTAGCGTATATGAGCTTTTATGGAGGATGAAGCATTTGGTTAGATGGTTGATATTGCGGTTGTTTATGTTGGCGCAAAGGTTTTGGAAACTTTTGTCTAAGGAATATGTTTCATTGTTGCAACTTAGACACAAATGGACTCAACCAGAAATGAACATAGGAGAGAGTAACTTGGTGACGACATGTACTGGGTTTTCAGAGAAAGACAAATGGTTATTAGGTCTGGTAAGGAAAGTGATACCTAATAGTGATAGGTTAAGACCGATGGAGTTGCGGACAAGCGTAGGGATCTTGGTAAGAGATATTAGAAAACTGCGTCTAGAAGTTGTAGATATTAGGTAGCTACTCGGATCCCTAGGCGTACTGGTGTAAGTCCTAGGGATCACGAGATTGTTGGTATATTGAGTGTCTGTTGTTGATTGCTTGTGATGCATATACTTGGATTCTTGTAGTTTATTTATTTGTCTGTGAAAAGAACCAAGGTTCTTTTGGTCGGGAGTGTTACGGGAGAACTGAAGACTTTTGACGGATTGAAACCTTTTATTGTACATTAATAATTTACTGTTTTTTGGATGTAATTGTTTTACTTAACTTTTGAGCTTGTTTGTTTATATCATTATTTCGGTTTGGTGCTGTCTTTGTCTTTGGTTTGGTATTTGGGAGTTTTGCTCCGGGAACCTACAAAATTGAAGGTTTGTTTTGTAATTGTTATAATTATTGTTGTTAGAACGACATTTGGTCGATTATTTGTGAATTACGAATAAACTTGGTACCTGATTTGGAGTTTTGGTTCTTTTGCCTACTTGGGTTCGTAATTTGCAAGTAGATCGATAGTCCGTACTTCAATAACTGGAACGAGCAAAACTTGGACGTAACATCAACCACATTAAAACCACAGCTTACCACCCAGCAGCTAATGGCTTGGTAGAAACATTTCACCGCCAACTGAAAAGCTCGCTGATGGCACAAGACGACACATCAAAATGGAGTGAAGTACTACCTCTTGTACTCCTAGGTATCCGTTCAACCATCAAAGAAGACATAGGGTGTACAGGTGCTTAGTTAGTCTATGGTACAACTCTCACATTGCCAGGACAACTCGTAGACTCAAATCCAGCAACAGCAACAGACCCAAGCCGTTACGCCAGCCAAATACTACAAACCGTGGATAGAATCAAAGCCACACCGCCTCAGGAACACAACAACCGAGTACAACTTGACAAAAACCTAGAAACATGCAAGTTTGTTTTCGTCCGTGTTTATGCAGTTAAAAAACCATTGAAGCAACCATACGAAGAACCATACCAATTAATCAAACGAACAAGAAAATACTTCATTATCAACAAAAATGGGAACAAGGAGACAATTTCCATAGACAGAATAAAACCAGCTTTCTACGAAGTCCCTCAAGACAAAGAAAACAATACTGCGAACAAACAATCACTCCCAGCAATTGCCACGAAACAAAGAGAAGATGAAAAACTTGGCACTACACCCTCTTGTTAGACACGTTCTGGGAGACTTATAACAAAACCCAAGCGTTATGTCCATTTCGTCGATTAAAAAAAATAATCAAAGCAAATATCTACCGATGTCCTACACTACTAATTTCACCCAAAAAAAATTTTCTTTTCACAGTGTACATAATCACATTTTTCCACAACTATTCGTTCTGTCACATCTATTTTTTATTAAAAAAATTTTATTACTATAATAAACGAGTAAACTCTATTTAGTTATTCATTTACTGTACACAAAAATAAACAGTTCAATTTTCTGTGGGTCATTAGCAGTTTTGCACATTATTATTATCATTGTTAGCCAAACAAGGCATTAAATGACAGTGTTTTAATTTTTTTGTATGTTTATTATGCTATGCTACATCTCTGCTATTTTCACACAATAGCGTACATGTCATACTCATCTCCACATTTCTGTTAGTTATAACTGTAAATATTATTTTTGTATATATGTATATATCATATCCTTACATTTTATTTTTGTTATTATAACCAGTGTTACCTCCGGACACTCTGTGGGGAGATATGTGAAGATAGGCCTGACAAGCTCATTTTGTTAATAGTTTATAATATTATTTGCATTTATTTTGTCAATCATTCACCGTCTGTATATTTTATCATTAAATGATTGTACCTGTTGTTTTAGTAAATGACCTTGAACACACTTTCCGTTGTGATACTGACATAGCGTGACATGCTCTTGCTGGCTAACAAATACACTACTACTCACACATTCCTCATTCTATCTTCGTTTTGTGATTGAGTTAACTGAAGTTTAAATCAAATACTATCTACGTTTATAGACTGTAATTGAAATATATCACATCCTACGTTGGATTATATCACTGGAGAGTTCGTCAACCAGATTGGGATTACCAAGCATTTATAATTGTGGTTTCTTAGTACCAGACCAAAGCCGAACACGCATCAATTTGGTGAACTTAAGTAAAGTCCCAACTTTCTATTGTATTTGTAATAATTAACTTATACATACTAACATTTCTATTTATCTTTATTAACTTTGTTGATACTTTTTGCGTTTATATATAGTCTGGTCCACCACAAGCTGTTGTTCACACCATTTCGATCTAATTCGAGTAGGTCCCCAATCATTCAACATGGATCATCCACGTTGGTGACTTACGGATTGAATAAATGTGTCATCAACGCACAGGTGACCAAGCATGCATAAAACGAATACTCTAATTGCCTCTAATATTTCCACAACAAAGACCTAATCTGCTGATCATAGCGCGAATCTTCTACACTGCTCACATCTCGCCCAGGGAGATATAACAACAAGTATTTTGTTCAGAAAACAGCTAACAGCTACCATGAAAAATACGGGGATAACTACGAAAATTGTAAATTCGAACAACATATGAAAAAGAGTAAAACTGTTTTTAATTGGATCATCATCAGGCTTTACTCTAATACATAGTAATATTTCAATGCATATGTGTGCTGTTTAAATGAATCAATGATTCCTTTGCACTTGTTGAATGTTTGATTTCGAATTGTAAATACAGTACATTCGTTTGTGGTTATCTAGTACTTCTTGATCCGACTGCGTTATTTCTGAGATTCTGAGTTCATACTATAATTCAAATGCTCGTAATTATTACAATATGCAAACTTATAAAACGACGTCAGTTGTTTTCTGACTTGTGGCCTATTAAATATCACGCGACTCATTCATTTGTCAGAATAAGACTTATACAATATTAACATTGTACAACAATAATAATGTATTCACCTGTACGAGCAGCAGCTTAGTGTTCCTATTGCTCTTTTTCCTGCCTAGCCCTGCATATTAAGTTCAGAACACCAATATCAGCTTCCATTACACAAATCATTTATTTCGAACATACTGGATTTACATATAAACAGATCAGACCACACCACGCCAAAAAATAATAATAAATATCATCTTTACAAATTCAAGCCAAAAAGTAGCTATAATTGTAAGAGACCGTGACTAATATAGTGAGAATAACTTGAAAGTAGTAAATCCTATGACAGTAACCAATAGGCCAAATATAAGCTTATAATAAGAGGAATATAATTATATGAAATTCAGTTTCTTAACAGGCATGTAATAAGAATATATGCATAATATCAGTCCATAAATAGTTTTCAGAATATATCCGTAATTTGATCGTCACTCGGATATACAGATTGATACCTGCCAACAATACAAAAATAGTAAATTTACCATGGTTCACCACTTACGAGACAACATCGATATGTTTCACATATGCTTAGAAAAGATAACACTCTGATCATAATTAAGTCGGACAGAAGAGGATGGCTATTAATAATGAACGAAACTAATTACATCGATAAAATGAAATTACTTATGAGTTGTCCGAGTAAATTTCAACACCTCAACGACGTCAAGGGTATAAATATGAAAACAGAAACGTCTGACTAATTCGTCTAAAAAACTAAAAAGTAAAGGAATAATTTGACCATTGATTGGATTGAACACACTGAGACTATGGTCTACTTAAAGTTCATAGTTCGGGACTTCCTCTTCGTCCAGCTTTAGATATATATAATCCGTCATACCATAAAACCCCAAAGTGGTTAGCGCAAATCCTAGATCCATAGCGCAAACCATTCTTCAACAGAAGCGTTAAAGACGTCCTCGATTTCAATTCTAAGGGGAAACATACAGAGTTGTATTAAAAACGGATGATATCCATAGATGTTGCTATCTTTTCCACCAATATATCACTACCTGAGACTATTGGCTTTTTGTGTCAACCAATACCTGAAAACATATCAGTATTGGAATTCACGAGGTTAGTCACGGGGAATTACTTCTGATCTGTATAACAGACGTCCAGCGTGTTTTTAATAACATATACTAAGTCGTATTATTGTTGATCTTTTTTCTTGTGAAACCAGAAAATGGACCTATCAATGATGTTATTGATAAGCTTGACTTTTATTGTCGTTACACTGATGATACTTACATCTTTGTAGGTCAGAACGTTGAAAAAGAAGAACTCATAAAGCTATTTAACTATAAAAATTCAGAAATCAACTCTACGTGTGGAGAGAAAACTATTAATAAACTACATTTTCTTGACGTTTAGTTAAACATAAAAGACAGTGGTTGTGTCAGTAGGAGTGTGTATACAGAAAATTCTTCAGTAGGTCGGTACACGCATTTCTTGAACTTTGTACCCATTCATTATTAGACAAACCCAGTTAGATGTCTTGCAAATAGAGCTAGGAAGGGCGAGACTCTAATTTAGAAAAGACCTTTGAACGAATCTTAAATGACCTTGACAATTATTAGCTAATCAGAAGACAGTTATTATAAAGTAAACATATAAGAAAGTAATGAATTACAGTGGATATTATTCTTTTACATGATTTAAAAACTTGTTAAGGTTTGATAAAGGTTCAGAGGTTCTGAATTCACAATGCATACGGCATAGAAACTCATCCATAGGGTTAGGGTTTTGGGTTAGGTGTTATTGTCAGGGTTTAGGGTTAGGGTTAGGATTAGGTTAGGGTTATGGTAAAGGTTAGGGTTAGCGTGGCGAGATCCTAATTTAGGGACGAGCCAAAAAGAAGCGTCTGTGCAATTTCAAGGTCACGGAACCAAGTTCAACACGTGATGCCAACATACGATCGGTTTACAGCGGATTTTAGAGCAGAGGTGTTTATTGAGATGCTACAACCCTAACCCTAAATCCTAACCCCTCAACACTAACAATGACCCCTAACCCTATGGATGAGTTTCTACACCGTATGCATTATGAATTCAGAGCCTCTGAACCTTTATCAAACCTTAACAAGTTTTTAAATCATGTAAAAGAATAATATCCACTGTAATCCCCAAAATCAATAGTTCTGTAGGTCTTCTACATTCGGTGCTTAACTTGTTAGCTTTAATGGACTCACCTAGCTGAAGGCGCTCCGTCATGCATCCACATAAGATCGCGAGTGAGAACACCGTGCTTCACTTCTCCTATGACTGCTAGCAAGCTCAGATTAATCATTCCTCGGTATATCGATATCCCATCAAATACATCTTTGGGCGTTTCTGCTTCTAACTTCTGATTTCACTGGGTTGGCACGTTTAGCTTATGAAAGGTGCTACTGATTAAGGTGTCGTCAAACTCCTAATACTTGTAGCATCTTTAGTTTCTAGAAAAACACTATGATGTGTGATACATTCAACGTAGTCCATGACCACAGAAAAGAGTCGACTTATCAAATGACGAACACTGGGCAGGTACAAGAAACACTGTTTACTGGGCCACCTCGAAATATATCCTTCTTGGCTTCATAATCTAAATAAGAGAAGACCTTTTGTAAAGCTCGACACTGAGTGACGGCTTCATATAAAGACAAATGCTTGAAAGAGGTGGAGGGCCTCACTAGAAGACTTGTGCATAACGCCTAGAAGGATGCCCGATATAAGAGAGAGAAACATTAGGAGGTCTCTCAAACAAACTGGTCCTCGAACCTACATTCAAGCTCAAAACACGGTCGATGATATTCTTCCTAAGGAAAAAGCACGAAAAAGAGAAGTTTTGTCATCACTGAACCTCAAAAAATGATTCCTGACAACCTAAAAACAGCAGATGTTCTCTGTATGCAGTTTCAAAGTAAATGAATCGGACAACGAATCAACAGTTGCACACTAATACGAAAAGTGATGATAGTGAGGAGTGGTGCGTGAATGAAGTCTGAGCTAATATTGAGTAGACCGTAAAATATTCGATCCAGGGAATGATAAAGGATTGAGAAGACACTTTTCCCTTAGTAATACAAAAATGCACCAAATTCCTTTACCACCCAATAAATAATCCTTTTTCAGCATTCCTTAAATTTTTGGCAGTTGCTAAGGGAACGGAATTCAGCGATTCCTTTCGTAACCATTAGAGAGGAGCTTAAAACATTCGAACTGCTACATGGATATAACTCTCCTCCCAGCGCTCTCAAGATCATTAGAACGTCCGGTGGACAATCGAAAACAGGAGTCTACAAATGTCCACGAGCTCTTTCGCAAAACTCAAAAAAGCTTTAGAAAAATTAATTCCTGCGCCACAAACGCCGTATTGACACGGAATAGTAAGATAGTGATGGGATTGGGTGACCACTCCTTCAGTTGTCACCGCCTCTCTAAAGCAACGACTGGGAAGGACCTAGGCTTGTTGCTAACAAAACTCCAGGACACTAGGGACAACCACCAGTGAGATGCAGTCCAAGTGAAAGTAACCCTTTACTTCTGAAGGCAACAAGACCCCCTATCTCTTCTAAACACCAGTCAAGACCCACATCCAACCATATCTCAAGACCCGCCCCCGACATGCGAATATGGATATCTTTGAGCAAGCATACAGGCGTGAAACAAAATGGGTCACAAGATTAAAGGATAAACCTGAGTTTGTAATTTATAATTGCTCCCACTGACCTGCAGAGGGAAGTGAGTTAACTTCATAATGGTTTATAAAATATCATGTAATTCAGGTCATCTCAGTAAAAGTATCATACTCGAAGCTTAACATTTCGCCTCATGAGGTAAACCACAATGAACTGATCATCCAGCAGCTAGTACTCACTTGAAATGCTCGACCAACCAAAGTGACCACAACCCCCTCATTTGACAGCATTAAGAATAAGTTTGTTAACCACATACTCACCCATGGCTTGTCGTCCTTCGCCTGAGATAGCTGTACCTGGTGCACATCTCACAACTTATGATTATTAACACCATAATTGCTGCTATTATTATCATTATTATTACCAACCCATGTCTCTTCACCTTACCTTATCTACTATCCTTAAGCCTTTACCAGTTCATATGATACGTATGAACTATTCCTTTACACATCCTCAACACTAACCTTATAATCCTTCATATTGCAACCAAACAGTCTTCCGTCCGATAGTATAAAAGTTTCCGATTCTAGCAGCCCGGCATACTTAAAACTAATTCAATATACAAACTTTCTTAGTTTTGTCCCTTTACAACACAAAAGGAACCTTACCAAGACACTGCATCATAGAATCAAGACTATATGCTCTGTGGATACGACTGAAGATGAAAAAAAGTCATTATACATAACCCTGAAGGAAAATGGGTATCCCGAGAAATTTATGAATATAAACATAGCCAATAAAAGACAGCACACAGAATGCTCAACTGTAAATCAAAAGCCTCTGTATATACGCTTGCAATTAAGAGGCGATGCCTCGAGTGCTAAGAATTAACTTAAGCAGATCAATTCAAAGGACTTTTATTTTGGGTAAACTACGACTAATATTCTTCACACGACCAATAATCACTCTGAGGTTGAAAGATAAATTGCCTAGACTAGCCACCTCCTTCTGTATCTATCAATTCAACTGCTCCTGTGGAGCCAGCTATGTTGGCAGATGTTCTAGGAATTTGTACATTCGGGCTCATGAGCACCTCGTGTGGTTAAGCAAAGGTGTTCAAACAGGACATACAGCCAACACTGAGCAATCTTTCACAATAATCCATCGTGTTAACAGCAGTCTACCTAATTCCGTCAGACTGCGAATCCTACAGACGGCTGAAGCAATTGCTGCTCGGACCAAAAAGCCAGAGCTCTGTATCCAAAAAAATATGTTCATCCACTCCTTTTGCCCTGGCCAACTTCGGGGCCAACTATTTAATAATTAATTTTATAATATGGTGACGTAACCTTCTTAATGTTCATTTTATGTCCTCAACTTATTATTATTACTGTTGTTATTATTATGATTATTATTACCATTATTATTAAGATTATCATTATTATCTTTATCTTTACACTTGGTGACCTTTTGAAAAATTTATTCAATATCCTCTCCTAAATCTATTATATCTGACCTAATTCATACTATTCTACATATTACGTAATTTCCGATTATTATTCCATTATTTTCTCTATCACCCCATGTTGACCATATTTATTCCGACCATTTATTTCACATATTATTTCTCATACTTTATATTAAACAGCTCCAATATTAACGATCTGAATTGATTTCATGTATCAAACAACAGTTCTCAATTCACATATTACAATTTCCAAATGATATACTCTGCCTTAAATCTGGCCAATTTTATGGGTTATTAATTTGGATGTATAATTGTAGAACTTGATGAGAAGTTATTGAAAAGAATATTCTTCGCTCAAACAGTTGTGTTTCATTAATTTCTAACAAAACCATACCAACCTCTAGTCAACAATCAAATTCAGTGTGTATAAAGCCGCGTCGTTAAACCATCTAAATATGTCGTAGACATCCAGATCTTAGCAGCGCTGTCGTCCATAAAACCTCCAGGGCAGACATATACCAGAGCCGATCAAATCAGATTTTAGGGACAAAGGAGTTCAAAGATACACTTAGAAGATAACCGTTATTTCGAGGAGCATATGAGTCAAGCTGACTAGTTGTAACAGGGGTTGAGTAGCACACAATATCCACTTTTGATCCAGTACTGAAGGGTAAGCGAGCGCCTTTAGCTAGGATCCTTACAGTAAGACTAGTGAAGTTATTATAGATATCGAGTACTTTAAAAACTATTTATTTATTTATTATTTATTATTTCTACAGCTGTGTATCCAAACAAGACTGAAGACTCCGCAAGTATTCGGGGTTTGATGACGCCTTTACATGCAACACTTTTCTAGTCGAAGTGTGGCAATACACTCAGATTAGAAGTCACAAATGAAGAGGCCCGAAGATATGTTTGGAAAGCTATCGATGTATCGAGAAATGTTTGGTCTAAGCTGACCACTAGTTCAAGAGATGTGAGGCACGGCACACCCACTCAAGATCTCGTGTGGGTGCGTGACCAAGTACCTCCAGCTTAGGTGTGTCCAATAGAACTAATGAGGTCAGCATATATGTAAACGACATACAGAACCATTTATTTCGGGGACTTATTTCCCGATACAGAATGAAATCAAAGACCTGTGATTGCACTATAAAGCCAAAAAGTATACACAAGGAAATCGTCTGATTTACAAAAGCTTGCTTCAAAGATATTAGATATGGGATGTGGCATACCATTCGTTCTTCTAAAGACCTAAACATTTCTTCACATTAACATCTATAGATTGTGAGACAAAACAAAGTTCATCACTGAATATTAATGAGCAAACAAGAAAAATAAATTATTTTCGTTGTTCTGGTAACAAAATTTTATTTGTTCATAATTTATCGAGATTGCTAATTGTACAGTTTTTAGGACACATCTAATCAACTATTTAATTCTTTAGCTTAAAGGCGCGCTTATCGTACTATAATTCATCGGTATGATTAACGTAGATTTGAGTGTTGCGGCCGCGTTACGGAAGTCTGGTGGTATAATTAGTCTGATGCCAATGGGGGATTCTATTTACTTTGGAACTAATATTAAACAAGAACCTTTCACACTGTTGACTCTGACAGATGATCAACGTTTCGCCATTGAAAGGGCAAAGAAGTATGCTTTAGAGCAAAGTATTCAAAATGCACTCAGCAAACAAGCAGCACAGCTACACCAACAGGTATCTATCTGTCGAAATTACTCTCACGTTTAAGGACTTAAATACAATTAAAAGGAATCAGGCACTTATTCTTTTGAGTCGAATTTATGTTGGGTCAATCAGTTTTGAAATCGGAGAGGAAGAAATCAGAAAAACGTTTTCACCCTTTGGACCGATTAAGTCTGTCGCTCTTAGTTGGGATACAGTTCTACAAAAACACAAGGGATTTGCTTTTGTTGAGTTCGAGGTACCAGAGGCTGCTTCTTTGGCATTAGATCAAATGAATGGATACACTCTGGCTGGCAGAAACCTAAAGGTGCGTGTTGTTTGGGCAATGATACTATCTTTCTTTTTCTCATGGTTGTATTTTGAAACTTCTACGTTCACACGAAACTAGATTCAGTGAGTTTGTACATTGGAAAAAAACCAATTCGTTTTCTCCCGATATCAGTTTGACATGGAGTTGATGGGTTTCATATCTGTTTGTCAAGGGATAACTCTGGTACAAAATTCGCGATGAAAACCCTAAATCCAGTTCCTAGCCCTAACGATCAAATACAAGTCAATTCTAATTCCTTGTATTGGTTTATAACCCTCATTTAGTTCTAGTTAACAGCTGGACATCCTTAAGGTCACCTTAGCGTCGCCTAAAGGTCGTCCATAAATTATAGTCTCACTCGAAATTCGGTATATTAAATTGTTCAGGTTTTGAATGTATTCAGAGGTGTTCACTTCTGTTCATTATATCGGCTAACCAGATAAGATATTTTGTCACTGCTCTGTTAACTTATTTTAGCAAGTCACACCATTAGCAAATTAAATGTTTTTTTCTTGCTGATTCATATATCACAGGTCGGGCGACCAAGCAATGCTCCTCAAACTGCTGCTTTAGAAGCCGAACTACGCGCAGAAGTTAGTACTAAGCCTCGTGTATACATTGCTTCAGTTCATCCAGAGTTAACCGAGTCTGATATTCAAACTGTATTCGAAGCATTTGGAAAAGTAAACAGCTGCAGGTAAACTATGATCAAGTGACCACTCTAGGCACTGAATTTCTGCCTTGTATATTTGTTATTGGATTCACTAATAGTGTAATGTATTTCGTAACGGTTAGATGCAAAAACCATTTTTGATTAGTTTTGCATTAGTGTTAATGATGATATTTACCTCTTTCTTATTTAGTTAATTTCCCTTCGATTTGAGATTTGGCAACTTGAACCGGCATACGTTCTTCCCAAATCGTTTAATGTCTTTAATCGCCTCAACAATCAATCAGGCACCCATTCTGTCTGATTGGTGTTGGGACTATAAAAGCCTAAGTAAGCAGGTAGTGTGATGTAACATATCTAGATGACTGCTTCTCGTTAAAATAACAGTAAAGGAAATTTTATTTGAAGTCAGATTCAGACGTTGAAAAATTGGGTTTTTTAGGCTCCAACGATAAAGCCCCGAACTAGTAAATTACAGGCGTTTAATTTGGTACTAAGTTGGTTAAAAAATGATCATCACCAAACTAGTCTGTAGTCGTAGGGCTAATCCTATCAGTTTTCACGTTTTAGGTTCCATTTTTAATTAGTTAATTTTACCACTGGGCTGGATACTAATTAGTTTACCCCAAGAAATGACTCATTCTTATGAAACTCTCATAAGTACTGTGAAGTTTGACATATACCTTGAGTATATAAGTCTTGAGTTTGATTTTATCCTTAAAAGACAAATATTGATGAGATTTAATGAGATTGGAATTTCAGATTCACAGCTACTTACTTTCCAAGCACATCCGTATAATTAAACTTAGCTTTCGCGACACTGGTTATCCTGCTAAGGCGGTTAATTGTATAAATATCTATCCTTAGAGTTGACTAATGTGCTGTAATTAGGTCCTCGCGTGACTTGTTTGGCTGTTAGTGTTGATACACGTTATTACTATTGATCAAGACCGTTGATATCCAATATTTGTAACTCCTTCCGTCATTCTCTAGAGTTCTAACGAACTCACTTTCTAAGTGTTGTGAACAAATTTCTCATTCTGGTTACCTTGCAGAATTATATAATAACTATCAGACTTGACGTGATGTATTTGCTAGTTAATTGCTTATTCGATAAGTGTATTTCTCCATTTGTACGTCAATCAGTATTATGTTGCTACTTATAGCATTTCTTAACATCCAATTTGGCTATTGAAGTCCTTGAGTACAACGCGAACTGAGTTTTTCTCGTTAAATTTCAACTAATAAATATTTAACACCAAGTAGTTGTTCTGAAGTGTGTATATATGTATAAGGTCTGAAGCACCTATGCCTACACTTTATGGTGTACATCTTACTGTAATAGAAAAAATCAACCCAGCACTTTTTCGTACTGCGTGTTTTAATTTATGATAGTCAAGCCATTAGGTGCTGTCTACCATCTGGTTAAGAATTCTGGTGACGTTAATTTTCCGCAACTTCTTGCCTACGCTATTCGATCAGCTTGTATCCAGATCCTAAATGTTCTGGTCGTCATCGGGGATTCGGTTACATTGATTTCGAATCAGAAGAAGCTGCTATCGCGGCCGTCTCAAGCATGAATTGTTTCGACTTGGCGGGACAACAACTTCGTGTTGGACGCGCACTTACTCCCAAAGGAGTTCCTCTTCCATTCGAACTTAATGCTAACAAAAGTTTAAACACAATTTCCACTAATCCAATATCTACTTCGGCCGTCGCGTTTGCAGCCGCATCAATTTCCGCTAAAGTTATGACACTGTCAGCTGAGGAAATTAGTTCGAACAGCCTTAATGGAGTAAGTAAATATATTATCATCTTCCTTTTTGGCATTTGAATCCATATTATTTACTGTATTCTGTTGATTATTGATCCACAGATTCGTTTAGGAACATGGGTATAAAGTGATGTAAATTTCCTGCGACATCTGAAAGGAATTGGTTCGAGATAATATGCTTCACATTTATGTATAGCTATTAGATGTAACATATTGTAGCAAAGCAAGATAAATCAAGTAAGCAATCAATAAGAGAACAATCAACCACATACTAAGAAGTCAACAGATGTAAAATGTGATATCATCATGATGACTATAATCATAAAAGATAGCTGTTAGCGAGATATAGGTTGAATTAAAGTATATCCCGTGCACGATTGTGTTGAAGCACTCTGATTGGCCGTTTCTTAACAAATCAGCACTAGTGAATACCAAGCAGTTTCTTCATGGTATTTTTATATAGTTTTAATTATGAACTGTTGTTTGACTCGTCAGTGGTTACTATGTCTTATACTATTTCGAAATTGTAACCAGTCAACCATAAATCTGTTGAACTCTTAGTGGCCCGTGGATCTGACTCCTATTTAGATCGTATAAATGATTGTTATCGCCTTTTCTCGTATATCATCGTCGACTTAAATCACGTTAGTCAATAACAAAATTAAATAAGTCAAATAACGAGAATTGATTTGTGAATACATATATTTTGTATATGAAGCGAATGAAACAGAGCAAAGCAAAATGACACGCAGGGAAGATGGCTGGGAAGCCAACTCCATTTCAGTTAAGCGTTACTCAATATTTATAGTCAGACAAAAATAAACTACAGACATGTGATGAGTCATGGGATATGAAGTGTACACACATTATACGCTCATATAAAAACAGTCAAGACTGATAAACGAATAATTGACAAGGCTAAAATATGACTCAAGTAGAATGAATAGAGTGGAATGTCCGAAAGCTAGAATAAGATATATGGGCTTAAAATAATGACTGACACTACAAACTGTTATGCATAAAAAAGTCCTAGTTTGTTTGTAATGCTTCTTAGTCCTGTGTTTTACTTGCACAATCATGTGAGTTGTGTCTAAATAAATAATTCCTGGTGATCACTCATGATTTTCCGATGTTCTGAATGCAAGTTTGGTAAAATGAGTAGAAGTCTGTGTGGTTTGTCGATCACTCTACCAATACATTGTTCCAGCTACTGGGTTTGCTGTTAAAAAACGAACATGTACGCTCTTTCATTAAAGTGGACAATATTGACTAATAAAAGTTAAGTGATACGGTAAAAAATCTTTCATCTATATAGTCTATTATCTAATTTTTTTCGTACTCAGTGTTCCTCATCGTTCACCGAACCTTTTAGTTTGATATTTGAATGGTTCTGATTTAATTTTTCAAGGATGCTTAGTCGACTGAACACTAAATATATTGATAGGCTTTGGGAATTTTAAGAGCAACCCAATCAGGATGCACTTTTTGTGAAACAATTCTGTTTTTAAAAAATGATAAAATTACAGAGGATTTGGAATTTTAGCACAATTAGTGAACTTATAGCTAGATTTTGGTAAATTAGATTGGAGCTAGTGGCACCTCAACATCCTAAACCTAACATTCGTTAACACGAACTCCTAACTTTTATACTTTCATGCCCTACTACCTAACCCTAACACAGTACCTCTAACTTCTAACACATTAGAACCTTAATTCTAAACTATAACACATTGTTCCACAAGAAATTCAAAATCCAGTTCATATAAGCTTTAGTCAAAAACATGATCTTCAGCGACAAGTTACCGGCAATGGCGTTCGTCCTAATATTTAATACCCAAAATCTTGAATCTGATCACCTAAGGCCGTCAGTATTGTATGGTTTCACCAATATATTTTTCTAATCTCTAAAAACCCTGCCGTTGATCTGGTTTGACTTCAGTGTAACCCAATTATCATGAGCAAATTTTGATACTTAGTTTACAGTCACACTAGCTATAAAGGCTAATGCTATTAACCAGTTTCCCAAACCCAACCTACTAGCTAAAGGCTAAGTAGGTTCAGAGTTTAAGTCATACTTCACTTACTTCGGTTTGGAGCAGCTCAGTAATATCACTAACCGTCATACTTAGGTTTTTAAAAGCTGAGTACATGAACCTGTTCCATTTCGTTCGTTCTGTCATTTTGAGTAGAGTTTTAATGAACGCTATAAGCTTATATGTTATAGAGTATTAGGACATTTGTAACCAGTTGGTTAACAGGGAAATTGTTCAGCTGCCTAAAGGGTTTGCTTCTTTTGACCACAGTGAACTAAGACGTTATAGAGAAGGGTTTTGGATGTATTATAAACATGTTTCACTTATTTAAATGGTGATAAATAAGTGATGGAAAATAATAAAATTCATTCTGATAACTGCTCACAAGACCAAATAATTGATCAAAGTCCTCAAATGAACTGATTTTAAGAGATATTGCAATTGACCAACAAACACGCTTTTTTCTGGTGAAATAGGCATTTGTAAGTTACTAGTTTCGTAGGTCGTTCAGTCACCAATTAAGTTAAGACTATCAGACTTTGACTGACGCACACTCGTGCCAGTTTCTACATTGATAATAACTGGACTAACTAGTCTGCTACATCCACATTGTTCAACTGTTGAATATAGTTTTATAGTAAAATAACACCATTACACTTGTCATGAATGTGTTATTTAAATTATTCATAATATTTAACTATTCTAATAGGTATTGACTTGTTGCAGTCCAAATTACTGACTTATTAGGTTTTTAAGTGAGTGTAATTGTTTAAATGTTCGATTTTACACGTTTCATTTAGAAGTAATCGGGTATTGAATGCAAAATTTATTTTCTCTCACAATTTATTGATTCACAATCCATTAAATGGAATACACTCATTATAAAAACAAAAGTAATTGGTTAAATGGAGTTCTTTTTTCCGCCAATTCACTTTCAAAGCCACACAGTCGCAAATTTATGCCTTTTTCAGTGGTAATCAATAATATGTTTATCAAATTTACTGAGCTTAATACAAGATTACAAGAAATGATGTCCTTGTTAGGAAACTGTAAACCTAGTCGTTGAAATCTTGAATATTCATCAATATTCCCATAAATGTTTTTATAAAAAACAGTAATTATTCAAAATGGTTGAGTGACATGGTGAGATAAAATTTAATCATAGACAGTGCAGAAACAAAATAAGTCAGCTAAAGGTAAAACGTCTGTAGGGAAATAGGGATAGGGTAATTACTTCGGAAAACTTGTGATTAAGGCCATTATAGAAGAAGAGGTTGAATAAGTTTCATTTGTACACACAATTTTGTTTATTCTAAATGTTTGGGGAAGGATTCATAAATGCTAAGACAGAAGTTCACTGTCTTCGTCAGGCTTCTACCTACCCCATAGATAACTTTAAATGCTGAGTTTTGGTTAAATAACCCATTTCCACAAACTTTTTCAATCACACTCCTTGAATCTAAACAGACAAATCGTCCTACAACCTCCACTGGATTTTCTGGACCTCCTGCAGCTGCACAAAATCTCCCGCCTCCTGGTGTATTTATTCCTACTTCTGTAGGGGACAATGTAACGTCAACATCGGAAGAGAAGCAAATAGAAGGTAATTCTTTATTAAAGAAGATTTTCAATCCGTTCAAAGAACGTTTTTCGTCTCAGCCAATATATAATTAGCTAGCCAGTTATATGAAAACATTTTGATTTGCTCTATTCCTGCAACATAAAAGACAATAGGTAGAATTGCAAATATCCCATTCTGCTAACAAGCATCAAAAGGGTATACATGGTATGTTCACCAAGTACGCAGATTGATAAAATGGAAAAGTTTATAACACAAAACCTAAAGGACTGCACATGTTTAATGTTCCCAACGTAAGCTTTCCCTATCAACCATCTCTTGTCACGATCCCGACTAACAATCTCAGTAAACCAGTTCACCTGTTTATTGAACAGATTATGTAAATAAACTAATTCAGTCGACCTACTGGGCTATTTCTTTCAAATGCTTATCCTCCTCCCGATCGTGTCATTTCATTTATATCCATAACTTCACTTTTTGTATCCTTATGCAGTCACGGTGATTTTTTCTTATCTTCTCTGTCAAGTCTGATGAAAAGGGATTAATATCACTTGTGAATGATAAATGTTTCTGCTGTTATGGCGATATATAAAAATATTGGTATGTATAAGGTGACCGATTAAACAATCACTTCACGAGAGTGAACTGAATTACCAATTATTACGCATCGAGAACAAAGAGAACGTTTCTATCATTACATTTTAAATTATCCAACTAATAAAGGAGGCAGGAAATAGGGATTAAATGGTATATTTTTCTACTGTTTTTATTAAACTTTAAACTAAAAATGCAGAAGATAAAGAAAGCCCAAAAAGACAAAGAAATGTGGTGATATTAAAGTACTTCAAGGGGTGTGGCCCCCTAAGCAAACCACTTGCTTCTGTTTAGGCGCCCGGGCAGTATCCCAGCCCTCGCACAAAGCTATTTGGTGCTTCCTTGTACTAATGTTTGTGTTTAAATGAATAAGTACTTCAAGCATGTCTTTGTAACTAAAACTCTCCGCAAACCCAATATTCTCTTCTGGGATAGGTGATATGATGATCTTGGGGTTCTGCTAAGTAACTGAGTTACACTTGTGTATATAAGTTTGTAATTAACTGATGATTATACTTAGTTTGGTTTAGAAAATTGTTTCTATGATTCAATTTATCTGTCTCGTCGCGTAGATATCTTGTATTGAACGCATTTAAGCGAATACTAAAATAGAATAACTTATTGTTGATTTGTCCGAGCTATATAACTCTTCGTAACCATGTTTTTGCGTAACAGACCTTGGAAACCAAGTATAAATGACGTATTTTATATGGCTTCTTAGTATCATTTATTGCATCCTATCCACACCGGTGCAAGTTGTAACACACGAATATCACAAAGTTAAAACCCTCCTGAGGCAACTATAGAACTTATCAATCAACGGGATTGTTTTCGTAACTAATTCCTAAAAATCAATTTCTGTGACTGATTCAGCGTTTATCATTTTTCAAAGCTTTATGCATAGTACTGTCATTAAATCGAAATGAAATTTATTTTTGTGAATTTAAATTTATCTAACTCATTGGTTTCTGTGTTATTCAGATGTCATTTCCGTCACAACTGCATCCGTCTGGGATGATGACGACGACTCGGCGATCCCTGTCCCAACTGCTTCAGAGGAAATTCCTGAAATCCCCGCTGAAGATCAGGTCGGGGAGCACACTGAAGTAACCGCTCACCTAAACGATGTCGAAGACTCTCAAGATGTGTTTACTATTAGTATGTCTAGGTAGGAATCACTTTTATCAAGTTACTGGAAACCATATTTTATAAGCATATTAGTAGATCTACAACTCAATGCAAACTGCAAAATATGTGCTTATTCTTCAACATAGTAATGTGGCTGTTTGCCTACTTTACCACTATAAATTTTCGGCAGTGTTCCGGAGTACTGAATAAAATCGAATATGCTTGAATGGTTTTAGTAAAATAGGTTCATATTTATGTTTGAGTAGACATCCTACTATTTGCACTCAAATTATGAAAAAGAAACTAGATCTGACTTTGCTGCACGCTGTTAATAAGGAAGTTTATTTAACTGGAACTCATTGGCGGTAGAAGTCTGTCGTTGACTTAGGGTACATTAAATGTGTTGATAATTATAGATTACGATTACCTCGAGGTTCAAAATCTATTTAAGTGGATTCATGATTGTACTCTTTTCATTCAGTATACTTTTATACTCAGTGGTCTTAATACTTAATTTGTCTGCTTATTGTCCCTATTAGGGTTTTATTGCTCGAGAATATGGTAGGTGTTAATGAAGTGGACGACGAACTTCGGGAGGAAGTAATGGAGGAGTGTGGGAACTACGGTTCTGTTCTACGCGTTTTGATTCATATAATGACAAGTCAGGATGTTCGCATCTTTATTCAGTTTGACCGATCGGATGACGCTAAAGCTGCTTGCTGCGCCCTAAATCAACGCTATTTTGCTGGTCGTGTTGTCCAAGCTCGTTTGTATGATGAAGAACGGTTCCAACTGCATGAATTGGATGACTAAGGAGTATTCTAACTTATTTTATTGGTCGTATTTCAGTCCGGATTCAATATCAGTATTTCTTATAACAATTATGTACGCATATTTACGATGTTCATTTTGTTTGTCAGACTTATTGTATACTTCCTTAACCCTACAATCTGTATGTACATAAAGCAAGGTTTAATTTTATATTAAACATATTCCGAATTAGTTTCCCTTTTGTCGTTTCTGAATATATGGTCAAGTTACATTCCCCTTGACTATGCTCGAACTAATAATGATTATTCATATGTAAGCTTTTTGATTAATTCGTTACTAAACCACTTATTTAACAAACTTGCAAGTTTTGTCGTATTTCTTCATACTATTCAAGTGCACCCACTGAATATTTTGTGTGACTTCCATGCGTTTCGTCTTCGGTGAAATCTAATGCTCAAACGGTACCAATATACTGTTAGGACTCCGGCTTTATCTTTGCGTTGAACAGCCAGATGGCATCACCAGTCCTCACATTCAGAAATATGTAGTTTAAACCCGGATAAAATTTTCGTATTTTTGGAGACATTTTATCTCCTAGGACAGATTGCTGGTTCGAGGGTTGTGTTTGTGGTTAACAAAGTAGTGATACAGTATACCCAAGTCTCGTTTACCTATTGCTTACTAGTAATTCCTATATTGCAGGCGAAATGCTTGTACATCAACCAAAGAACAAATACATTGTAACTTTGTGGTGGGGTTTCTTTCTCTAAGCCAGGTGGTTTAATTATGAAGCTTTCATTGTTCTTCTGAACAACAGCCAACTCCCTGACGGGATGGAGAATAGCTGAGCGAATCGAACGGTGAGAAATTAATTCACTATACCTGATGTTGTTGAGAAGGACAATGAAAGCTTCACGATTAAGCCTCCCATCTAAAGGACCGAGACTCCGACAAAATCTACCTGAGCTATAAATCTTTTATACCGTCTCGTATTGTGTGTCGTTCCGCCTTGTATTGGCACAAAGGTTGTGAAGTGCGACCTACGAGAGCATTCGACATGAGTAGGCTGCAAGTGTTTGATCGTAGGCATTTTTAAAGAATTCCTAGCGAGCAGTATTTGTACTAGAGGTAAAAACTGGGGAAACCCGTTGATAAGACAAATTCTTGTCGACTGAGGTGGTTGAAACATGTATCCCCAAATGGGCTTACCCAAACGTGCAACGCATCCCAAGAAACGTTTCTTCAAGAGGGATTTTGTAGTGAGCCGTAACCAAACAATGTAGATCGAAAGAATCTAGAGCATTTGGTGCTCAATTAGGAGTCAGGAAACTAAAACAATGACAAGTTGGACTAGATTCCCACGGCGTGCAATGCTAACCAGTTGGAGACGGATGGAAGAAATTTAGGGGCGTTCAAACCAAAACGTGGCATCAGTCCATAAAGTCACTAACTTCCGGTCTGAGCCATGTTAGTAGATGCAGACTACTTGGTTGAATTCCGCGCAACTATCGTAACCAGTGGTTGGGAACTCGGTGCGACATGGCTCAGAATCGATCACAATGGTGTAAGTGTGTACAATCTTTGTCTTCCCTTAAACCGTGAAATTAAAATTACTTTACACATTTATAAGAACTGATTCTTTCCCCATATCAAATCCTTATATGCAATCTTTTCATTATATATATTACTACCATTGAAGTAACTATTATGAATATGTTCACCTTGTGCTAATGAGGTAGGGAAACTTGTACCGAAGCATGTATGTGCCTGGTCCTACTTTGTATATGGACTGACTAAACTAAAGTTTAATAACAGAAGCCACAGGTAAGATGTATGTCTGCCGTGTAACAAATTACCCGACAGAAAAACTAATCGAAGCATAGACAAGAACAGTATATTATACCAGAAATCTTGAAAATATCACATTCAAAAGTTTGTTTTTAAGAGCGTGAGTATTACAAATTCACAAAAAAGTAAAAGTTATAAATAAAAAAATACTTTATAAAGGACCTTTCAAAATATATCACTAGAAGCCACTTCATATCTTATGTTCCATAAGTTTTTATATGACTAATCATGATCCGGACGAAAAGTCATTTGATGTTTACGAACGCTAGGTTATCGATGCCTGTACAAAAAATAAGTAAACAGTGAAGAATATTTTTTAATTAGTGTTTGTATTGATTTAACAAGGATAAGATTTTATAGTTTAATTTCAAAATGTTTTAGTCTAATTATGTACTGTGACAATTTATTTCTAAGCTGATATTACATGACTGTGGTTGCTCATTTTATAATAACCCAACAAAATTCAAACCCCATAAACTACTGTTGTGGGTATTAAGGGAACCAGGCTTATTTGATAAAAAAACGTAGAACACTAACAAAACTACAGAATATGCAGGAATAATTCCCTCCCCTTTCTGTATATCTAACATGTTATGTTACCGAGCATTGCTGTAAGTGTAAATTTGATGCTACTAAGCACATACTCATTCCCGTCCCAAATAAAAAAAATTTCAGTTCGAATTATTTCCTGTTTTTATATGTATTTGCTGACATGAAATTAATGACAGTATTGCAGATGTAAGCATTCCTTATTACTATTTAGTTTCAATGTTATTGAATATTTTTCATTCGCTCTCATCAAACTATACTTCTTACATTTAGTTTTCTGCTTATAACTCGGATTGCCTGAGAAAAAATAAACCGAGTCAAGATTTTCACGAAAAACAGTAGCACAACATTGACTGCCCACCTCTTTTTAAGACTTAGTATATTAGAAAAAGAAATGATAAAAGCTTTCGCAAAAACATATAAACTTACTTCATTGTATGAAAGTGAAGAATGAAAAATATAAGACCTAAAATAAGGCCCACACTGCCCACAACAATATAGGATATTCCTAATGTTGGATTTCGGCCACCTAACCAACTCATCGTAGACAGTATAATTCTTTTAGTGCCACCAAATTGAGTGACAGGATAAGCTGAATGTACAATAAAACAAGCAAAATTAAATCAGGGGAATAATATGAACTTGAGTGAAATTTTTTATTTAGTAAATTTGTGAAACGCAAATATAAAAAATACATCTTTAGAATCAAATGATATTATTTTCTAGTATCTTAAGAAATAAAATACTTGAAAATTTTGTAGTAAAGTTTAATGTTAACTGGTGACTTATGGATATGTAAATAAATGAAACTATTGGAATGATCTGTATATAGTGTTGTAGAAGCCAATTCCTCTCTATTCGACACCAATAAATAATACCTCGTTAACTGAGTATTTAAAACAGGCCAAATCCTTTAGTAGTAATTTGAATTTACTCGAGGATATTCAAAAGCCAAAAAACCAGTTGTAAGGATAACATATTGTTAGTAATTACTAAAATCCGCAAGCACTCAGGGAAAAAATGAGTGAGTGTCAAAAAAATTCATATATACTTAGGAGTGTTGATCGAATATGGATAAGTTATTGACTGCTTATGTAAACAACTAATGGGAAGATAGATAACATTGATATCATATACTTCCTACTTTGGTATTAAGTAGATACTTTTTATGCTCACGTACCCGCTAATTATATTTACCAATTTATATAGACTTAGAAAGAGTAGCAAATAAAAAAAGTTAAACGAAGGCATTTAGTCGGAATCAGTACATGAAGTCATTAACTCGGTCTGGACCATGTTAATGGCTGTTTACTACCCAGTCTGGAATATGGATGATTATTGCGACGATTTCGTATAGATGTTGGATGTTACTGTGGTGCTTGAATGAACTAATTATACCTTTGTACTTGTTGAATGCTTGATTTCGAATTCCAAATACAATACATTTGTTTGTGCTTGTGTCTCATTTCTTCATTCAATTGCGTTATTTCTGGGACTCTTAGTTCGTGCTATAATTCAAATAATTCAAAACATTATAGTTACTCAGAATCCGTTGCAATGGTGCAGATTTATTCACTCTGTTCATCTCGAGATCCTGGATATAAAAGTTATATTATACGTTTTCTGCTCTGAGTTCATCCTTCTTGAATCGTATTCGTTATGCCTAATTGTCACAACTGATAATACTTCTAATAACTTAGTACTCATCTTAGTGTGTTGATATGGTGTGGTAATTCGGACCAACTCATATATGAGTCAGATTCTGCGTTACCTACTGTTGACCGAATCTAAAATCTTGAATAGAAACAGGGTCTTTCCCTAGTACAATCTCAAGGCATCTGATGAACATCGGTCACTAAACAGATATTCTTTAACCAATTACGATACCAAAGGAACGAAGGATGCCAATTCCACTGCGTTCTGAGGAATCTTTCAGTTCGACCTTTCCAAACAGAAAAACAAGATGACTAAACCTACACTATCCTATTAATTAGTTTTCAACTACCAAATTAATACTACTGGTTTATCCTCTTAAGTTTTTTCAAATGACTCAGAGAAATTATATAATTCCTCAGTCTATTAGGGTTTAATTCTTCTTAAGCCATTTGTTCATTCCTTTTACGATCAAAATTTTTTAACTTACATACATTATCACGTTTTCAATTGTAGTTGACAAATTTTGTTTTCTACGCGTAGTCTAATTACTATTTTATAAATATAAGGGAATTTATACGTTCAAAGCATATTTCCATAAACATTACTTATGACAAATTTGTTGCCATTTGAAACAGTTTGCAGGTAAGAAGCTGTAAAATAGAACAAATTCTGCTTCCACTTCAAGTTTATTTGTTCCAATTAAATAAAATAACGCTTGCTATCGATCTAAAAATTTTGCTCTTATCATCACACATTAAAACGGGTTAGCAAAATGGTTAGAAACAACACAAACTTACAATAATTCGGAAAAAATAAGCAAGAGATACAGTGACTTATAACCTCCTTATATGGGATTTGATATGACTCTACCGAGCTTTACTATCGTATCCAAGACATAGCTGCCATTTAAACAGTCAGCTTATCAACAAGGACCATAACGTAAAAAAACTATTGCATCAGATGAATGAAAAAAGTGTAACCTTGAGCATAGGAAACTAGATTTCTGTTAACTGAGAGGATCTAACTGACGAAAAACATGTCAGTCACGTCGAAAAAAAAGTAAAAGTAAATCAGTACTCACAGTACTCAATATCAACGCTATAAATTCCAGCTGGTAGACCATTTGAAAAAGCGCCGACATGAGTGACTAGACGATGTAATTTACGAAATGTTGGTAGTGCTGAGACACGCATCCATACTAATAACTCTTCGTCTTCGCTATATGCACCAGATGAGCGTTCAAGAGCTGACTTTTTCCAACTGACTGGCTTTACTGTGTTTGCCCATGAATCAGCTGGTGGTTTTCCAAATTTTTCTTCAACATCAGTACGCCAAGCGATCCCCTTATTTGTCATTGGAAC